GTAATTACATACCCGCTCTCCTTTGTCCCCTTTGGCTCCCATACCTCCGGTATACCCTTTTTCTCCTTTAAATTGCAAATATATAATTGATTTATAAAATAATATATTTATAAGATTAAATGTGCAAACCTTTTGGACCAATTGTTCCTGGATATCCAGGAAAGCCAGGCACTCCAAGTTTACCTTTCTCACCTTGCCTGCCTGGAGGTCCGGTATCTCCTTTGACACCTTATTCCAAATATACCATCATTTGTTTTCAAAATAATCATTTTAAGATTTTGTAATTTTGCTTATAACTCGTCTTAAATTAATTTAATAATCTATTACTAAACCAAAAATTACATAATAATTTTATTATAATAAACTATACTTTAAAGGTTTAATTTAATTTAAATGTATTTTAAATATAGTGTCAATAATTTTCCTTGTTCTGACACTGGATAAATAAACCATTACATAGGTATGGTCAAACCTTGAATGTATATCAATTTTATAGAAATATTTCTGTAATATTCCAGTGTTTTCAAAGTTTGTATCAATAATTACTGATCAAATATAAGCCAACCTTGGAATCCCTTTTCACCATCGAGGCCATCGTGACCCGGAGTACCCATCGGTCCCGTCAACCCCTGTTCGCCTTTAATTCCCTGATCACCTCTCACTCCAAACTGTCCCGTCTCTCCTTTATCTCCTTTTTCACTGAATATTATATAAATAGATGTAAACAATATATTAATAGATTAGTCAAACAAATACTTTTCTGTATAATAATTAATTTTCTATTTCTACATAATATTTATATAATCCTTGTAAATTATAATTTTTATTTACGGTTAATCTATAATTTTTAAATGATCTAGTTAAGGAGTATGGTAGATTCTCTAATACTAGGATATTTATCTGGATTACAGTTTAATTATTATTATAGATATCTAAATAGACAAAGTGTGGTAAATTGTTAACAGTTTATTAGTCATTACCCAATAATGCCTCTGAGCCCTTGGTCACCCTGAAACCAATTCATTAGATTGAATGTCTAATTTTTGGATAAATTACTTTCTGTCCTTGGGAACCAATAGCTCCAATGGACCCAGGTGGACCCGTTGCACCCTATCGATTGGTTGTTTGTTTATATTAAAGCAAACAATCATTTAATATAAATATAATTGTCAATTGTTTAAATGTTTCAAATCTCTCTCTCTCTCTCTCTCTCTCTCTCTCTCTCTCTATCGTTATTTGTGATCAAAATTAAGAAATGATTGTTCAATACATATAGAGATACAGACCATATCTCCTTTGCTTCCTATTGGTCCCACATTTCCAATGTTTCCCTAAATTTAAAATTTTCTTTAAATATTAAAATGTAGTTTAAAATTACAAACTGATTACCGGTAAACCGTCAGAACCGGGCAGTCCTGGTAGACCCGGCTTACCTCGAGGACCAGAAGAACCGGGTGGTCCCACAAGACCTACCGGACCCTAAATATATTTCATATTAACTCTATATTTGGTTTCTATGCCAACAACTCATACAAGCATTCCTTGATGCCCTTTGAAACCACTGGGACCGGGAGGACCCGGCTGTCCAGGAGCTCCTATTTCTCCTTTAAGGCCTGGAATACCATCAGAACCCGAAACACCAATTGGACCGATAAGTCCAGGGAATCCTCGGGGACCAGGAAAACCTCGGGGACCTATTTCCCCATTAAGACCGGGAGCTCCGGATTCGCCATCATCTCCAGCTTCACCACCAACCCCGGGCTCTCCTTGTATTCCTTGGGCTCCTGTAAATCCGCGCTCGCCTTCAAACCAAATATATGTTATTCCAGTCGTCACTCGTTTTTGTCCATATTTTTAACCTTTTTCACCGGGAAATCCCGGAACGCCTGGAAGTCCAGGTTCTCCTTTGAAGCCAATAGGACCCACTGGACCCGTCTGTCCTAATATTCGTCATCAATTGGTTGGACATAAAATTCATATCTCAATACTATATCATTCATTATCAAGATGAAACAAACCTGGAGTTCCACTCTTTCCCTATAAAATTAATTCATTATTGAGTATATCGTAGTAATGATTATTATAATTATTGTTAAATTGTATTGTTTAAGTGTTGCCAACACACACTATTTCTGTGAACTATTTTTGCTTAATCTTATATACAGTTATATAAAAATAGTGTATTAATACAATTTTTCAAATAATAAAATTCAATTTATATTATTCAATTTATAATTCTCATCATATTTAATATAATTCAATTGTTAACACTTATTGTATTTATTAGAGCAATACTTACTCTTCTTCCGGGACGACCTGATGTCATGTGAAAGTAAAGGCATTTGATTGAACCACATTCAAATAGAAGTGAAATAACGTTATTTAAAGTTAAATAATATTATGAATACAGTATAACATAATAATTATCAAATTATAAGACCTGGTAATCCCATTATTCCTCTCAATCCTATAAACCAAATGATTATAAGAACAAAAGTGGAAAGTTGTATAACTCTTCATACCTCTGGTACCCTCGGGCCCACTCAACCCGGGTTCTCCTTTAGGTCCAGGAGGACCCGGTTGTCCCACAGATCCTGTAAATCCTGTCACTCCTTGTGGTCCGGGCGGACCTTTCATTGATTGCTTTTAAAATGTGATAAATAAGTTAGTTTTAGTTAATGATTAAACAATACAATTATATTAATAATAAGTCTATATTTGTATTTTGCCGCTCGAGGTAATGAGTCGAATGAGGTAATTACCATTCTCCAAAATAATTTATATGCTCAAATGCATATTATAGTAATTTTTAATAATTAATTTACTAATTTTAATAGTTAACAGAATCGGATTTGTTTTTATAAAAATAAAAACAAAATTCTTTATAAATAACATATTTTAATTATATTGTATGTTAATGTTTTATACTATAAAATTTATAGTATATTTATTCAATAAATAACAAATTAAATACTGAATTATAATTTATTATGAAATGATAATAAAATTTAATTACTAGTAATTGAAATGAATAATACATACAATGTGTTGACTAAGCATAGCTCTAATCTCTTCATTATTATCGGGACCCTTTGAATTAGTTTGTGTTTGTAATGGAATCATAAATATATGTCCGGGTGGTCCTACTGGACCCG